TTTTTTTTGTGGAACTGGGAATTGAACTCAGACCCTTGCACTTGCCAGGGAAGCGCTTATTCTACTGAACCATCTCCCTGGGCCCCCTTGTTTTGTTTTTGAGACAGGGTTTTGCTGTATAGTTAAGGCTGGCTTTGAACTCGCTATGTATCCCAATCTGGCCTTGACTTTGTGGTGATGTCTCCTGAATGCTGGTATTACAGGTGTGTACCACCACATCTAGCTTGTTCTTGATACTTTCTGAAGCAATACTGGAATCCTCTTCTGTCTTTTTGAGACAGAATTTCACTATGCAGTTCAGGCTAGCCTTGAACTTACTTATTTTGTAGTCCAGGCAGCTGAAAGTCCTCTTTTTGAGTGTCTTTAATTATGCTGTAGCTACCTTGTATTCTGAATGGATTGAAAATACTTATCTTTGGGGCTGAGGGGATAGCTCAGAGGCATAAACATCTACCTGGCAAGCACAAGGTCTTGAATTTGATCCTGGGCTCCGCATGCCATTTTATTCTGGCACCCCAAACGTGGTGGCACACACCTGCGGTTCAGAAAGAAAGCTTACTGTAAGTTTGAGATCAGCCTGGGGGCTACAAAAAATGACCACAAGGCCAGCCCAAACTGCATAAGGAGACCCTGTTTCAAAAACAAACAAGGGCCGGGGATATGGCTCAGTAGAATAAGCACTTCCCTGGCAAGCGCAAGGGCCTGAGTTGAATCCCCAGTGCAAAAACAAAACAAAACAAAACAAAACAACAACAACAACAACAACAACAACAAAAACCGAACTTCTTTTTGATGATTATCTTGAATTTAGGAAACACTGGAAGTTATGCTATGCCTGGTCCTGTGAATAGGGTGGCTGAAGAACATTACAATGTAATGTTTTTCATTTTTTTGTGGTACTGGGGATCAAACTTGGGACTTTGTGCTTGCCAGGCAGTTGCTTATGCTGCTGAGCAATATCCTGGGCATGGTCTAATTTTTTTTTTTGACATAAATTACCAAAAACATTTGTTCAGTGAGGGATGATCAAAAAATACAGTTAGTATTTAAATTATAGTATTTATTACAGTAAAACACAGATTGCTTTAAAAACTTGCAAAAATATTTCTCCTCTCTTAGAGTAGAAATCAGTCTTGGCAATGAGTCTTGTACTATGATAAATTGTTTTAATCATTCATTGTATTTTTTGATCACCCCTCAAAGAACCAAATGGTGGCTAATTCGGTATAGAGACTAAGTTTGGAGGTATGAGGAGTTTAGATCAGTGATGGCAAACCTTTTAGAGCTTTCATTGATATGAACAGCCCCATTAAGTATGTGTGCCATAGGTTTGCCACTGCTGGTCTAGATCCTTCCTCAGTTTGTAGCCTAAGGAGAGGCTGCAAAGAAAGAGGTCATTTCAAGTTTGGAAATACATAGTTGAGGTGTCTTAACAGCTTGAAAATGAAGAGATGAATATGTTGATGTGCTTGGAATTTGGGAGAAAGAGCTAAACTGGTGACAAATTCAGAATTCAGGAATCTTTGCAATGGGTAAGTGGTAGTTGAAGTGGAAGTTAGGATACTTGGAAGGCTGGATAAATAGGAAGCTCTAGGTGAGGAGGCCTGATAAACTGGTCAAGTACTACAGAGTTTCTGCATGTTAAGATTGCTAGGAAGTATCCATTGGATTGCACAAGCTTATCAAGAATTATTTTAAGGGCTGGGAGATGGCTCAGTGGAATAAGTGCTTCCCTGGCAAGTGCAAGGGCCAGAATTCAATCCTTGATTCTGCAAAAAAAAAAGAATTATTTTAGTTGGAGAGGATAGAAGTCAGGTTGTAGTGAAGAGAGGTGAGGCAATAGAGATAATGAGAATTAATATAGACAAGACTTTTAAGAATCTTGACTCTGAAGGCAAGGAGGGAATAGTGCTAGAAGAGAATTTAGTTCAATTTTTTGCTTTTGTCTAGGTGTTTATTTTCTTATTTATTTGGAGCAGGGGATCAAACTGAGAGCCTTGCACATGCTAGGCAAGCTCTTTGCCCTTGAGCTTTATCTTTATTCCTTATTTTTGTTTTTAATGATGAGAGAAACTTTGAAGAATATTTAAAGGTTTATTAGAGAATGATGTGTGGTTTATGGAGCAATGACTTCCTTAGGTTTGGTTTTGTTTTGAGATTCTGAGCATCATCGTAGGGCCATAAGCATGCTAGGCAACCACTAGCTATCACTGAGCTTCACCCGTAACCTTCTCTTACTTTTTCTGATGAATTACTGTGTATATGCTGCCTTACTAATCGACAAGTGTTTATTAAGACCTTCTTATATGCCAGGTGCCATTCTGGGCAGAGGCAGTTCAGTGCAGAATAAGAGTGCCATGATTTTTCTTAGATTTTGGAGTTCACAATTTATTTATGGGTAAGTGCAGATGTTTGAGGAGCACTCACTGATCAATCAGTTTTGAAAAATTTGTTGTAAAAGGGTTTATCTAATTTAAAGGACTACAGAGTATTAAGGGAATCACAGCTAAGCTGAGGTTGAAGACTTAAGACAGTATTCAGGTATATGGGAAAAGCAGAATTCTAAGGGAAGGGAATAGGGTAATTTAAGATTCTGAAGTGGGAAAGATGTGCATTAGGAGAACTGATCTGACTAAGGCACAGAGGGTGAGCAGGAAGGCAGAACTCTGTGCTGAAAGTCTTTGAAAGAATTTGTGGTTTTCCCCTAGTTAAGATGGCAGGGGCCAGAGAGATAGCTCAGTGGAATGAGTCCATGCCTGGCAAACCCTGGTAACCACCAAAAAAGAAAAAAAAAAAAAAAAGATGGTAAAGTGGCTATGTATGATGGCATTTCTTTTTCCTTTTTCAGTTAAACAGCCAAGGTTCTTTGATGTTTGCTCATGGAAAGAAAGTGTGGAGTAGTCAGGACCCTTGAGGTTATATATAATTTTCCTGGGACTCAAACTTCAGTTACATGTTGAGATTGATGTATAGTAACTAGTTATTTAGGTAGTAAGTGAGCTTTCCTAAGGGAAAAGTATCTACTTTTCAGTGAAGTTTCATTCTTTATTTGGTGAGATGTCTTAGTTACTTTCTTGTTGCTGAAACAAAATATCCTACACAAGTTAAAGAAGGAGTGCTGGGGAGATAGTTCAGCAGAGAAAGCGCCTGCTTAGGCAAGCACAGGGACTGGGGTTCAATCCCTGGCATTATATGCTGCACCAGCCCCACCCCCGGGCATGCTGAGCTGGCCACTAGCACACTTAGCTGGCCACCAAGACTGGGTTTGGTAGCACACACCTTAATCCCAGTGCTGAAGAGACTGGAAACAGGAGGATTACCATGAGTCTGAGCTACATAGTGAGACCCTGTACCAAATACATTAAAAAAAAAAAGGTTAAAGAAAAGTTTATTTTAGCTCACAGTTTGTAGAGGTTTCAGTCTGACTACAAAGGCAGGCAGTGTGCCATAGAGGTATGACACTGGAGAAATAGTCCAGAGCAGACAGAGGCATCAAGGCTTCCTTCTTTCCCATTTTATTCCATCTAGGCTATAAGCTTACTAATTGGTGTCAGCCATACCCAGGGTGGGTTTTCTGCCTTCAATAACTCCTTACCATTCAAACCTATAACTATGTTAAACCAATCATTGGACTGATTCAATATCACACACCCATGATCCAGTCATTCATGACTGCCTGAGACTTTGGGCCATCTAGATATAAGCCATGACAGATAGTGGTTTGTGTGTGTGTGTGTGTGTGTGTGTGTGTGTATGCGTGTATATGGGGTAGAGTGGAATTAGATGTTTTGAAGTAGTGTGTTTGGGGAATCTTTTTTTTGAGTATGTATTGAAATTGTTGGGTGGGTCACGTTTTCTCATTGAGTAATAGATGCCAAAGCTATCAGTGAGAAAACAGTTGTATAGTGCACAGTACTTGCTATGTATAAGGTAATTGTTTTAGGCAAAAGAAATGTAAGATACTAAGAGTGTGAAAGACAATAATGACAACAAGAAATGAATAGTTTTTGAATTTTTGTCTATCACTTTATAGTTTATAAAATGTTTTGCAGTACTTGAGTTGAACCCAGGGTATTTGCACTGAGCTATTTCCTTGGTTCTTTTTAAAATTTTTATTTTGAGACAGAGTCTTGGGAATTGGTTCAGGGCTGGGCTTGAACTTTGAATCCTTACTTTCCCAGAGTGCTTAGAGTACAGATATATATATATGTGACACATGGCTAATAGAATATTTTAATATTTCCTCCAGTTGCCCCCTTTACAACATATATTTTTATACTTAGATGAAGAAATTGAGTTCTAGTTATCTCAAGACTTCTTTAGATCATACACTAATAGTCAGGTTTTAGAATATGTTGTTTATTCTGTTTGGGACTTGAAGTGAGAATAACCCCTCTTCTGCCACTGTGTACTCTCAGTAAATTTCTGTTCTGATATTGGCTATTTTTTGGTAATTGAAGTTTTATATTTATTGAGGACTTAATCAGTGCTGCTCTGTCATTTTGACCTCATCTCCTTCCTTTGTTGAAGTTAATGTTTCTCAGGTACTCTGCTAATTGATTTTTTTTTTGAAAGGTAAAATATGCCTTGATCAGTGCCCAGCGGTGTATGATTTGCCAAGGAGATATTGCACGGTATCGAGAACAAGCCAATGACACAGCAAACTATGGGAAAGCACGCAGGTACTTTTACATCACTTTATTATTTCTCTTCCTGTTAAGCTAAACCCTAGTAAGTAATGGGTTAGTTGAGTTGCATCCCACATATATGTCCTACCAGTGTCCCTGTTGATTCTTTTAATCATACTTTGTGACTTTAGGTTCACTTCCACCTAAACCTCAGCTTATGTCTTAAATAGTAAGGCTGTCAGGATGAATTGGAAAAGAGTTGATATGAAGGTAGATTTTCTTCCTGTTTTTCTATTCTAGTTGGTACTTGAAGGCCCAGCACATTGCTCCCAAGAATGGGCGCCCCTACAACCAGTTGGCTTTGCTGGCAGTGTATACGGTAAGAAGTCCTGTGAACAGGGGAAGTATTTTTCAGGTAATTTCTTAAAACTATAGATTTCATAGCAGCAGCTCTTGGATTTTTATTTCATCTGATTACTGTATCCCATATAATTCCTATCCCCTCTGCCTCCTGTTCTCAAACTCAGTTTGTTCCTTTTATTTGCAAAAGTAAGGGGGCCTGCCCATTAGTTCAGGTATTTAAGTGCCAGCGTAAACAAAGCAGTCAGGTGCAGGTTGCTTTGGTTCGATCCCCAGAACTCAAGCCAGCCAAACCTGCCCTGAAGTCATTCTGAGACAGCCAAAAAAAAAAAAAAAAAAATCCTTATTTTCAAAAGTAAGTTGTCAGGATCCTTCACTTTGTTGATTCTACTTCATCTGTTTTGTTATCACTGCTTTTAAGTTTCTGAAGAAATGTTTGTATTCCAGCCAAATACTACTTTGTTTATGACCAAAGCTTTTGCTCTGAGTCTTACTTTCCTCCTCTCCCCTGTTCTGTTGATCTAAGCTACTAGAAGGAAGATGTGGTTCTCTTGTCCTTAAAGTCCTCACATAGCTTTCAGTAGCTTGCTTTGTTTCCTTAGATCTCACTGCACTTCACCTAAGGTATCTCCTTAGCTGAACCACAGTAAACACCTGCTCTTTACCTCTCTAGACCTTACTACCTTTCTCTAAATATGTCTTTTAACAGAGAGGAATTGGCCTTGGGAGCTGAGAGGGCTTCAGGCAGGAAGCTCCATTGAAGAGGAGAAGGTGGTAGTGGGGCAGTTGTGATTACTAAAGATTCAAATAATTGTATAGGAAGCAACTAAAATGATCATTAGGAAGGAAAAAAAGATTCTTAATGTTACAAAGTTCATTATTCAAGTAAGTAGTATTTGAGTTTCATATATGTATTCCCGTTTGTTCCATAAAAGATTTAAAGCAATTCCTTTTTCTTTTTTATGTATTTAAGACAGGGTCTATAGGATCTACAGGGTCTTACTACTTAGATTGGTATCTTTAGTTTTTTTCTTTGTGTTACCGGGGATTGCACTTGGAGCCTTGCACTTGCCAGGCAGGTGGTTATGCTGCTGAGCTATTTCCCAGACTCACTACTTAGATTGGACTCGTAGTGATTCTCCTGTTTTCAGCCTCCCGAGTGCTGGGATTACAGGTGTGCGCCACCACGCCCAGTCTTCCTCAGTGCACCCCAGGGGATTGAACCCTAAGCCAGGGATCAAACCCTGCTGCTGTGCTCTGCCTAAGCAGGTGCTTTAATCTGCTGAGATATCTGGCCGGCCCTGCAATTTCTAATTATGGATTCAAATAGTATAGTTGGTTAAGTAACATAGCTTAATGAAGCCCTATCTTGGGTTACTATTTTTTTTTTTAATTATTTATTTATTTTTGTGTGTGGCCAGCTCAGCCCACCAGGGGGCAGGGCTGGCTGGCATGTGGTGCTGGGGGATTGAACCGCGGTCCCTGTGCTTTGCTTGGCTTAGCTT